TGTAGGGAACCTGCTTTGGCAGGGGGGTTGGACTCGATGATCTCTGGAGGTCCATTCCAACCCCTACAGTTCTGTGATTCTATCTTGTAACTACATACAGGTTACCTTACACAAAGCAATAAATGACTGAATTAACTTTAAAAAAAGGCAGACTGGGGTTTTCCTCATGTTAGGACTTTCCCCAAAATTTTAAGTGGCACCAAAGTCTGTGGAAAGCTCTTCTTGCTTCAGATCCAATCAGTAGATAGGATTTGGTCCAAATGAGTAAAATGCAAGGTCAGAATAAAAGACACCAAAGAACATAGCAAAAAAAATTCCCTACACAGCCCTATTAATACCACTTATCCTGTTTCCTGCAGCCTTACTCCCTTTTCTTGGTAGCTCTGATTCCTAGCTGCCTGCCATACTGAGATCAAGCCATTTCTGTAAGACCAATTCATTTTAAAATGCAGATGAAAGCTGATGAAAGAATGAAAGAAAATGAATAAATCAATATCCATCACGGAACACATACAGCATGTTAAAGGACTTTCTGCATAGGGAGTTTGATTAAATGAAAGTGTCAGTTGCCAACAAAGTAACTAATGTCAGACTCTAATCCATCTTTGGTTATTTTCTAGCATTTCAACCTTCAGCAATCCAAGATACAACACTCCTAGCAGAAACCTGTTATCTAACTGTTTTGTTTCTCTTTTCTGACAAGCTCCATGTATCACAACTCATTTAAGCACGGGTTTCTAAGTGATTGAATTTTGAGTTTTTCCACATTCAGAGACTGTTTTTTTTTGGCACCAGTGGAAATGGCAACATAAAGGTTAAGCAAACAACAACAGAATAAATTTGCAAGAAAGGCCACGCATTGCATCTGGTGTTATGCAGCCTTGATTTATTATCCCAAATTCCTTGCTGCTTGGCATTAGTATCCTTGACAAGCCTAACCAGACTGCCACCACACCATGCAAATAGATGGCCTGAGTGCAGTTATCCAGACTGGCAGCTCAATGCAAAGGACACAGTAAGCACTCCCTCAGTGCTGCATTAGGGTGGTATCACCAGTGCAATATTTTGTAACAGCAAACGTGAACCTCATGTGGCTGTAGATAGCAATGTACCCTGCCTAAAATGACAGAAGCTGGAGCACCTTCTAGCTGGAGATCAAGCAGGATGTGTATTAATGAAGAGGTACCAGTAAGACTAGTGCGACTGGGCACCAGTCAGCTTGCATATCTCACAGCACTGCTGTGCAAGCCTCCAAAAAGAAAGCAATATGTCGTATGAAGATTACCACAAGCCTAGTTGCTCAGCCAGTACAAAATTACTATCAACACAAGCTTGAAAATTGCAGTTTTTAGCTGTACAGTACTTATTCCAGATGCAAACTGAAAAAGTTGCAGCCTGCTAGCCAGCTAAGGCTTAGCTTTATTTCCAGTTTCCCAGAAAAATTTCAGTGAATCAATGTTGTAGTTCTGACTGCCTACATAACAGTACTGTTCAGGGCTATGGTGCTGGTATTTCAGTCGTTTTACCTTCAACACACAAGAAGCAACTGTAAGGCTACAGTGCCATTCCCATTTTCCAATTGGCAAAGTTTCAAATCTACAACTTCAGGATCTGCAGGACAGCATCCTGTTCTAAATACTAAGGACCACGGGATGGTTTATAATAATGAGTTTACAAAAATCAATCGTTCCAAAAACTTAAGTATATTAAAAATGCAGATTTCTTGTTATCTATTGTGAATACAATGGTATAAATGCAATTTTAGATCCAACTACTACCACAGTTCTTCCCACCCCTATAAACCTTAACAAAAAGATCTACCTTTTTTAAAACAATCAAACAAAAATTACCTCAAAGCCACTGTTGGGACATGAAGAATAGATTTTTGTTTTGTTTTTCTACTAACAATCAATCATGTTATAGCAGCTTCAAATTTACATACATGATGTTTTCCAGTACGAGGAAAAGGTAAGTGTAAAACTAGCCATTTTTTGTTTGAAGCTAAATTCCCCGGCTTATAAACTCTTCCATTACAAGGCTCAGAGTCCTTTTACTTCAGGAACTCTCTAACACCACACACAGTCCAATATGAGTTCAATGTATTTTCTTTCTCCTTCATCATCAGTCTGTCTACTCTACAGGATTTCACTTCACAGGCTAACATAAAAAAACAAAAACAAGCATCTGAGCTTTCTAGTTGCCATAGGACTCACCTGGGAGTCACACATAATCTGGCTTCTATACCCTGCTGCAGAAATGGAAACATTTCTGTTTTCATAATGAATGCTTTTATGTGACTTCCCCAGTCTGCAAGGTGCTACTCGGATATGTAACTTTAAAGCATCTGCTGGAAGCCAGTACATTATCTCCATGGGGTTGAGTAGAACTCCCATTAACGTAACAGCCTCCCTGCAATATTAATGCTTTCTTCATTTATTATTTTCACACACTAACTTTTGGGATGGAGATATCTGTCACTAGCATGACTTCCTGAATTCAACCTTTCCGGTCTTTTCCAACAACACAAAGCCATTCTTTGATGAGAACCATCTGTCAGTAGCGATGCAGTCTCCTGCAAAATACACTGATTTCAGAAGCATGCTTCGCTTGAATCCAAGATACTCAACGCCACATCTGTCACTCACATTGAGAACGTCAGAAGAAAAGATAATGATTCATTTCAGTAACTGGTTTTCCTACACTGTCCCAGGACAGAGTAGAAGGACATCACCAAAACAGTTCAGATGGCTCTGAAGCATCGAGATCTGAAATTACCAACATTTTCATACTTTACCAACAAAACTGCAACTTATGCATAAATTTTTTACTTGTTTTAAATACACAGCAGTAAGGTCAGAACTATGACTTAATGAACTAAAGATATATAAATATTTGAGGATAAACCACTCAGTCCAGACATGCTCACTCAGGCCAAACTTCTATCTCAACACTTAAAATGCCACGTTTTATTTCTAGTCCAATTGCATTAACAGAGCTTAGTGCCAAATCAACCAGCCATCAGTTATGGCAGTAAATTCCTCCAATTTATACCCAAATCCCAGAACTCTGGAATGGCTTGGGTTGGAAGGGACCATCAAGACTGCCTCATTCCTGTGCCATGGGCAGTTACCACCCACCAGAGCTCCAGAGCGGGGATACCCACAGCCTATCTGGGCAGCACATACCAGTGCCTCACCACTTTTCAGGGACAAATTTCCCCTGACACCTAATCTAAATCTTCTCTCGTTTAGTTTAAAACTCTTCCCCTAGTCCTATCAATGTCTGCCCATGTAAAAAGCCAATTTCCCTCCTGCTTACATGCTATCTTTAAGTACTGGAGGGCTGCAATTAGGTCTCCCCGGAGCCTTCTATCCTTCTCCAGGCTGAACAAGCCCAGCTCCCTCAACCTTCCCTTCACAGGAGAGCTGCTCCAGCCCCCTGACTGCCTTCCTCTGGACACACATCTTTCTTGTGCTGGAGGTGCAGGCCTGGATGTAGTACTACAGCTGGGGCTTCATGTGGGCAGAGCACAAAATCACACAGAATGGCCAGGGTTGGAAGGGACCTCAAGGATCATGAATCTCCACCCCCCCTTCCACACGCAGGGCCACCAACCTCCACATTTAATACTAGACCAGGCATTAGAGCAAAGGGAAACAAACAGCTCCCTCGCCCTGCTGGCCACCCACTTTGGTGCCGCCCTGGATACGATGGCCAAACCGACACCGAGGTCGAGAGCAGCAGCCCGTCAAGAAAATTCCACAGCGCACAGCGCAGCCTTCACCCTCACGCCCCGGCCGCCCACCGAACCCTGCTCAGCGCGCTGCCATCGCCGCCCCACACGCCGCACTCAGTGTGCCCAGCACGGTGCCCAGCGCGGTGCCCAGCCGCCTCCCCCCGGCCCCACTGCGGCCCTACCCGGCACAGCGGCGCTCAACGCGCGCTGACGCCCATGCTGCGACACAGCGGCCCGCACCACCCGGCCCGACCCGGCCCGGCTCGGCCCGCTCTTCCGCTGACGCGCAACGACTCGCGCCGAGCGTTGCGAGCGAGCCGGGCGCTTCCGTTAACGCCCGAGCGGCGCCGGAAGCAGCGGGAGCGGGGCTGCGGAGTGGGACGCGGCGGAGGTGAGCGCGGTTCCGAGCGCGGGGTTCCGAGGGTGGAGGTGGAGCTGGGCCCTACGCGCGGCGTTCCCCTGGTCGGTGGGGCTGTGGCGCAACGCGGGCGGGCGGCACCTCCCGCACGCCGCGTTGGGGGGCGGAGGCTGCGCGGAGCGGCGCCGGGGTCCCGGGTATGTCCGGCCCTGGGCGTGGGGAGCGCGGGGATGGAGAAACGGGGAGGGGAAGGGGAGAACGGCTGCTGCTGATGCTTGACACGGGCGGTGTCGGCAGCCTGCGTGAGTCTGGGAAGCTGGAGGTACGAACCTCACTTCTTAAACTTTATTTTCATTCTTTAAGCCTGCGGGTGACAAGATATTTTCGTTCTCAGTTTTGTTCTGACAGGAAGAGTCTTAGTTCTGTGTAGTTACACGAGTTAGCTCTTGGAGGCGTGCGAAGCCATTGAGGTGCCTTCGGCGCGGCTCCTCGTGGTGCTGGGGCAGTACCTGGCTGCTTCTGCGGGGCAGCCTGAGAACTACGTCACCTGTCCGATTTTCTTGGATGTCCTAAAATAAATCTTGATGCTCGGCTTAACAGAGGTGTCCTGTAACTCAGAGTCTTTGCACGAGGGCTGCTCCAAAAGTAGTGCCTCCGTTTTTATTATGTTGGTCCACAACATCAGAGGCAGATGTTGGTGGTACAGCAGTAGAGGCTGAGCCTTCCCACCAATATTCTGTTACTTTTTGTTGCTGTGCAAATGATGGCAGCAAAGGGGCAGTCTGACACAATGGCATCGGACATGGAATATCATACAAAGCAAAGGTGTGTCGTTGAATTCTTCCATGTAGAAAAGAATTGTGCCCATTGCCACTCATCAGTGCTTGCTGAATATTTCTGAAGACCAGCCAGTGCACATTAGCACAATGAGGTGCTGCATTTCAGCAGTCATGACAGCAGCAGTGGGTCACTTCCACTGGTACCTGTTTTTATGAATGCAGCATGCAGGCTCTTGTTCATTGCTGGCAAAAATGAACAGCTAATTGTGGTGACTGCATTCAAAAATAGTGTTTTGTAGCTGCGAATTTCCTCTAACAAATAGTGTTATTGTGCTGGTCGTATCTGTTGTAGTTTCCATGGAAATAAATAGGGGGCGTTACTTTAGTAGCAACCTACATGTTTCAGCACTTGAAGTCTGCTCTCTGATAGCATCTGGGTAGGCTCTTTGCCCTAGGTGGAGTTGTGATGTAAAGTGTCGTGATTAGTTCTTCAATCTAGGTATTTGGAACTTCAAGGGAGCAAAGAATCTGTGGGAGGGATACAAAGAGATCTGAAAGTGCTGAGTAGAGCCGGAGGTATTAATTCCTCTTGCAGAAATACTCAGCATTTCTTGATACTTTCAAGCATAAATGCTGAAAGCATTACAATTTTGACCTGTTATGACAATGACACGGTGAGCTGACATATTTTGTTGTCCATCTGTTCATGCTGCAAGGTGGAAAGGCATTGCAGAGGTGGTGTTCTGTGCAGATGTTGTATTAGCAGCAAT